AATTCAATGCGACCTTGTCCCAGATAAGTGTATAGCAGATTGTAGTTGAGGGATATAATCCATACATACTGGGATAATAGAATGGAATTTACTTGGATTTAGTCCAAGTAAAAAAGCTCCAGGATAAAGAGTAAACGTATAGGCTTATTTGATATACCAAGCAGTTGACAGATTGTAAAAAACTTGTACCCAGTGTAATCAAATTCATGCAGAAGTTTAAATACCATATGAGTACTTGGTTTATATGAGAGAATATTTATTTATTTATTCATTCATTCATTCATTCATTCATTCATTCATTCATTCATTAATTAGACTTATATACCGATTCATAGGGCTTTCAGCCCTCTCTAAGCGGTTTACAGATTTTTAGCAAATTGAGTTAGCAACCCACAGTCTGGGTCCTCATTTCACCCACCTCAGAAGGATGCAAGGCTGAGTCAACCTTGAGCCGGTGAGATTTGAACCGCTGAACTGCAGATAACAGTCAGCTGAAGTGGCCTGAAGTACTGCACCCTAACCACTGCGCCACCTCGGCTCCTATCAGGAAATATCAGGAAATTCAAGAACTAAAGGCTAGAACAGCGCACAAAGAAAGACAGAATGGGCCAACGTACCTTGGCCAACTCAATCAAAGTCAACACCATGGCCAACTTGCCACGTAACAACTTGCTGCAGGGCAATTCAACAATTTAATTAAATTATTTAAAATAATGCAAATATTACTTAAAATTTTTTAACTTTAGTCATTCACATTTTATCCCTCTTTTGGTATCCTTTCTTTAATGATTCTGTTCGACTACTTGTTCAATATTAGTGTAAATCTTGTCCCTTGGTGAGTTGAGTTAGCCATGGTGAGTTGTTCCATGGCCAGTTGGCTGTGGCAAGTTGTTGTAGACGCAAAGATGGAGCAGCCTTTCTACATGTGTAATCCGGGGGAAAGACGTGGCTGCTTTAAGGGGTTGTTGTTAGGTGCTGGATTTGAAGTTGTCTCATACTTTCCAAAGCTCCTATTCCGAAGGATTGCACCCCCCCACTAATGATCAACCATTTTTAGATCATTGCCAAAGAAACATGGCAGTAGCTTCCTGTACTTCAATACAGAGACGGCTAAGTATAAATGAAATGGTATAGAATTGCTAGAATTGCATTTTAAACATTTATTTATTAACTTTATTCTCATGTTAGAAACATCCAGATGTTTGTCACTGTCTAAACTTGCAACAAGACAGTTATTTTGGCTTCCTAACATGTTTGCAAAAGTATAATCAATACATTCATTGTGTGTAGTTTTTAGGCAAAATTTTACAAGAATAATGCATTGTCTTAAGCCTAGGATTCTTTTGAAAACCCTTAGCTGTGAGAAAATAGGGCCCCTATTTCTTTGGTTGGCCTGTCCCAAGCAATTTTGCTACAAAAGTGGCAGGGCAATCTATAATAGTTTATTATATATGCCAATACAGCCAAAATCTAGAATAACCCAGTCAGATTATTTTGGCTCTTCAGACTGAAAATCCCAGAGGCTTGATCTGGACTGTAGAAATGTAATAATAACAATAACAACAACAACAATAACCACCAGCAGCAAATGTCACCTCTGTAATGAGAAAGACGAGACAGTCNGGTCCACTGGTGGAACCTCTTCTCACCGGTTCGGTAGATTTGACGAACCGGTTCTACCGAATAGGTGCGAACTGGTAGGAACCCAACTCTGGCACAAAGTTTGTTTACTTCTGTAATAATAGACCGTCGTCAGGAAAATCCAAACTGCAATGCTTTCTAATTTTTTTTTGCTCCAAAGCCTGGATAGCAGGCAGAAGTCTTTGATAAGAAGGTTAAGGAGTCATCATTTGGACAAAGTACAGCACGTCAGTGAGTTCAATTGCTTGGGAACAGCCTATCGTAAAAATCCTTAAATAGGAATCTGGCAGGCTTTGTACCTAGCTTGGCTATGTCTAAAGGGCTCCCGACTCTGAAATTATTATTCAGGACTTTGTTATTGGTGGAAGACTCACAACATGACTCAGCAAGCCTAGTTACTTTATTGCAGTATTGAGGGAAAATGCTATATACTGTACAACAGATTGTGTTTACTGCAGTGGCCAGCAATCAGCGTTTTATATATAGGCCTACAATCCAGGATTTCAGTTTTAGGCTTCTTCTTCCCATCTTTCTAAGTCAACAGATATTTTGCATCTCTCTTCCTGTTCCTGGAAGGCACCTAAATGTGTTGATGTAAGGGTTGCCTTGAATTTAGGAACTGTCTCACAAAATTCTTCTCTATCAGGACCCATGGGAAAAAGAGATCCACTAGGGGAAAAAAAATAGATTATTTCCCCCCACCCTTTTATTTTCTGGTTTCAATGCACAAAAAAAGATGCAATCATACAAAGTTCAGTGAAATTTACTCCATGTGTAGCTTACATATTCTTAATTGCTGCGTACTAATGAAATTATCAAGCAGAAAAAATAATAATTATAAATGCAATGCATGCTTTATGTAATGAACAGGATAAAACGAAGTGGAATTTAATTAATTCAGTTATCTGGTGGGGAAAAGATATGAAAAGAAGGCGGCAAGATACTTCATTTTTGCACTTTTTCGCAATTTGATCATTACGCGCAACATCACACGATTTGCCATTTGCAATCTCTTGCTGGTTTCACCATATTGACTCTGCTTGTCAAAAGCCAGCTGCAAATAGTGATCACGTGATCCAGGGGGACACAGCAATTGTCATAATTATGAGTTGATTGCCAAGTGCCCAAACCACAATCACATAATCATGGGGGATGCTGCAATGGCAGCAATTTTGAGAACCGGCCATCAGTCTCCTTGTTCAGCAGCATAACTTCAAATGTCACTAAATGAATCGTTATTAATCAAAGTCTGTTTTTTAAAACATTCCCCAGCACATGATTTCACATGGACATTTGAAAAACTTAGACCTTTAATCAGGTTAGACAGAAAAACACTGCCAGTCAGTTTAAATTGACATTAAAATTTTATTAACTGGGAACTTCAAATTATATTTGGGAATCATATACTTCCCATACGTTAAAATCAGCCAAAGGGAAGTAATTTTTAACTATTAAGTTCCAGGAAAAAAGAAAGTCAATTTTTTAAAAAAAAGTTCGCTTATTTGTATGCATGTGATTGAAACTCCTAAGTATTTATTTATTTATTTATTTATTTATTTATTTATTTATTTATTTATTTATTTATTAGATTTATACCGCTTCATAGGGTTATCAGCCCTAAGCGGTTTACAGATTTTTTTAGCAAATTGAGTCAGCAACTTGCTTCCACAGTCTGGGTCCTCAGACTGTAGAAGAAATCACATACAAATATGTTTATTGAGAACATCCCAACCTCCTTCCATTTCAGTTTAAAACTAAGGTTTTTTAAAAAAAATTTGGATGTTACAGAGTTTACAATTCCAAAGATATTACCAATTATTACAAATCAGACTGAACTCTTAAACAACTATGCCATAACCAGAATTAGACCAGTAAGTGGATGGATCTTCCTCAAGAGTTTCTCAGTGAATTTGTTTCTAATCCAAATGGAACATGAAAGCATTACTCCCATCCACAAGTACCAGTGAACTTAACAGGCAAGCTTCTGAGTAGCTATGTATAGGGTTACACTATGAACAAATATAGAAGTGGAGTAGCTACTACTCTGAAAGATTTAACTGATATAGTCTTGTGTATACCGTAGTGTATTTTATTCTATATGGGATAGAGGATATAGGGGAAAGCATTAGTAGCCATTTATCTTCCAAATTAGTACAAGAAGATCCATTTGAGAGCTACACATAAGAGCTGCTACAACAGGTCTATCCCATTTAGTGTATGTCAATAAATATTCAGAATTTCCTGAAGTCTCTGGAGAATGTGCACACTAGTTATGTTGCCCTTTCCAATTTAGCTACAATACACATAGGTAAAAACAGTGTAATTATCCAGCAGACTATCAAACTTTAAATATTTTTTAATATCAAGAACTTGACATTTATCTTAAACCAAGATATACTGGTTTGCAAAAAGAGCAGTTTCCTGAATGAAGGAGCGAGTAAACTCAGGTAATTACAGAGTATAACTAACAGCCACTGTACCAGAGAACCTTTGGCTCCTTAAATATTGCTGAACTACTACTAAGAGAACTTCAACCAGCATAGCAAGTGATGAGCAACATTAAGACCTGTTGTCGAGATGCAGGTTCTCTGTCCTTGCTGTAAGTAATCCAACATTCTGATTAATTGAGCTGACAAAGTGAAATCCATTTGTTACATTTATATTTTATCAGTGGCTAGGGAGTAAAATATACATTTTGAATCGCAGGTGTGTTAAGCACAGTTCTTCGAAAGGAGATGCCCTACTTGGATGCAAATACCGAGAGAACACAATTTGCTTTCCTTCTATTACACTGACAATATAGTTCAAGGTTGGCACCCAATTGAGTTCAGAAACAGACAAGCACATCCAAAAGTCACAAACCTTGACTGCAACACAGCCAGTCCTCAAACAACAAGCTGATCGATTAAATCTACTAAGCCTTAGTTTGCCAATAGAAACTAACAGGTGTGGCCAATCTTAAAGCAACAGCACATTTCCCACAAGCTCTAGCAAGGCAGACCTTGCTCCTAAGATACATCTCTGCCCAGGTTTTAACCTCCCATCTCCCAACACACCCCTTTCAAATGCCATTTTAATGGCATCTTCAGTCACTCAAGGACAAATTAATTGAAGCAGCGGGGATTGGGAGCCGGTTTGACTTTCCTACCACATGTAGCAACGGCAAGGCTGTAGCACTACTCAGCTTCCTACTCTATGAGTGGCAGGGAGACAAATATGATAAACAATGAAAGAAATTCCAGCACGTTTAATGGTAACCCATTCTTTCAAAGAACTGAGGAAGGGGTATGCTGGGAAGAAATCAATAACCCTAGGCTGTCAATCTCTCTGTATTTATTGGAGGGGGGGGAGTTCTCTTCAGCTATTAAAGCAGGGTTTACTTCCAAGGAAACAAAAGGTAAGCTGTGAATGAGTTGGGGGTGGGAGGGTTAACAAAACCTTGAGCAATTCCCTTACATGAATGGAGGACCTGGGCCTAATATTCCCTGCTCCACCACCACCATTCTGCCCCCCCCCCCAAGCCAGAGAGGTCAATCACGCTCAGGCGTTCCAATAAATGCAATCTTTTAATCGAATTGCAGGCAACTTCATTTCCCTGCAGGCTGCAAGCAGCTTTTCGACTTCTCCTGGCAATTACATAACATTGCTTCGAAATACACAACAGTAGCCGAACCCGTAGGAGCCTCCCCTAAAGATAATAATGTAACAAACTGTATGCAACCGGGGTTTTTAACCTAACCGTGTTAATCCCACCATGACCAGCACCCAATGCGCGCTTTGCTATTTCTTATTTTCTCTTCTGCAGCTTTATTTGGGGAGGGGGGGGTGTAGAAAGCGTTTTGCAAATAATCAACCTTAAGAGGTCCAAACCCCACCGGTTCGTCCTCCGCTTCCTAGGGAAGGGCAAAGCCGGCTTTGGCCTCCTGCAAAAACTCTCTTAAGCCGGCATTGTTGGTTTCTTTTGCCAGCCGGGCGCGAAGCTGGTTCTCCAGGAAAAATAAAAAGGGAGCTTCGTGGTGGCGTTTTTGTCATCGCTCGGCGTTAGGCAGCCTAAAAATAGACTGGCACGAAGCGCCGCTTCATTGGCAAAGCTTGCAACTCCCGGTAGTTTCCCCTCCTAAAGATGTTAATCTCAGAAACAATGAAGTTTCCCAATTAAAACGATAACAAAAGGAGAAATTGCTGGGCTAAGAACCGCTTCTCTCTTTCTCTCTCTTTCTCTCTTTCCCTCTCTCTCTTTCTTTCTCTCTTTCCCTCTCTNTCTGCTAAAGGATCACATTCTGGATTTACAAAATGTGCTAAATCCAAACAAAGCAAATTGTATGACATGGCTTGGGGAAAGAGAGAGCATAGGGGGGTTTACACAACTTAATATCAATTCTGCCTCTAAATTCCAAATTTAGAATGCTACCATGTTTTCAGAGTGTTCCCGCTATTTCGGAAGCATCTGTTTCAGTTGCAAGTGTTTTCTCTTTGCGTTTTGCATTTAATTTTTAATATTTTTTCTTGAGGAAATTTCAAGGGAAGCATGGAGAAATACATTACGAATAATAAAAAATGTTTTTAAACAATGTTTTTTAAATTATTATTGCTAGCCCAAAATTAACTTCATCTCGTGTTTGGACAGAACATTTCAAGGGTTTAAAAGGAAGCTTCCGGGAGAATTGCAAAATTTATTGTGTGTTTTGTACACCCATAGATACCCCAAAAAAGAATTGTTGGACCAGGAAAGTGGATGCAGAATATATATGTGTATAAAGCAATACATGAAGGAAGCAAAATAACTGTGCCAATTCTTTCTGGGTTCCAGGAACCATCGCTTCTTTATTTGCTAAAACAACTGGTTCTCTCTCTGATGCAAGAATTAGTGTGGATGGTATTGTCCTTGTAAGCCAAGGCTGTGTTTCAAGGTAATTGTGCAGATTATTGAAGACCACAGAAACTCGTAAACAAAGTGATTTATATTGTTAGAGTCAATATGAATTAACTGGGACACACTAAGGCTCAAATTAATATGGGCGGGATCCAGTGTTTAATTACCTAAGTCAAACTGCCTTCTAAAACTTGCTAGGCTTGCGAAATTTGCGAAAGAATTTGGGACGTTCCTCGTGCACAACAATTTGTTTTACTTCTGCAAGCTACCATGCTAATGTTTGATCATCCATTTCTAATGTGAGGTGGGGGGGGAAGCTCTATTGTATGGCGAGAAACTGATGCCTGGGGAGATCAAACCAGCGATTTCGACTCACTCTATCTAATTAATATAAGAGTACCTAATTAACTCTTGAGATTTATGCTAGATCTACCAAACTGGTGGAGAAAAGTAGTATCTTAAAAGAAGTGATAGATCGCTAGAGCAGTGTTTCTCAGGTAGAGAATCTACTGGCAAATAAATGACAAAAAGTATGTGAATACAATATTATTATTATTGTACAATTGTATCACAGCGGCCAGTTGTTTCGCCGGATTTGGCATTGGTTACTAGTGAGGCCCCACCCAGGGGCCTAGGACGTCGTAACGTATNATAATAATAATAATAATAATAATAATAATAATAATAATAATAATAATAATACGATGATGATGATGATGATGATGATGATGATGATGATGATGATGATGATGATGATGATGATGATGAAGAAGAAGAAGGAGAAGGAGAAGAAGAATTAACTACAATTCGTTTGGGCCTTCCCACACTATCCAAAGTAAGTTGTCTCATCTTCCCTTTGATGACCTCTTCCCAGCTTTTTTCAATTTGTTTTTCTTCCCCAGGAAGCTTTTCAAATTGGATTAAGACCAGCTCTATGTAGGAGTGTGAGTGTGTGTAAGCACAAACATCTAAACTGGAATGGGAACATTTGTAAGAAAAAAAATGGGCACAAGTTGGTTTATGAATAACATAATCCTGCCAGTTCTCTGTAAGTGCTCACATATAAATTCTTACTAATTCAGCAAACACGATTTAGAGAACTCTTAAACAAATATGCACTGGGGAGCCCAGGTAAGCAAAGAAAAAAAGCCTTTTTCGTGTTGTTGTTTTTTTCAAATTGGTTCCTTTACTAAGATAATTGTTGGCTTCCCAGGAGTTTAACATGCAAGTGAATGTGATCTTTTTATTTTCACAGTGAAAAGGTGATGACGTGATGAATTTATCTGTGCAGAGCTCAAAGGCAAGGACAATTGCAAAACCAAAATATAAGTGATATTTGCATTGGAGAGCTGTCATTAGCCAATGTTCCAGTCTGTGTTTGTTATAATATTGATAAGGTTGTTTTATTATAATCCTCTTATATTCAAAGTTAAAAATCTTATCTGAGGAATGAATATACTGGATTACTTTTTAAAAATCACTTTAAACCCAAAAGAATGTTCGTTTTCTAACAAAAAAGAGATTTCTTCCCCCCCCCCCCCTTTGGGTTTGACTTCTAATTTTGAAATAATACGGACATAATATCCATTGAGCCATAGAAAATAAATTCCAATTAAATCAGCGGACCAAATTAGACACAAGCAAATTAAAACTGAAGTTTTACGTTTGCTTGCAAGGAAGTAAAACACTTTGGACACAGACTTTACAAAGATGCAAAGGATTTCACTATAAAGGTTATTAGTTTTATGAGCTAGTTAATTAATAACTAATTTTCTTATGACTGGAGACAATGCATTTAATTCATTTGGAATATGTGAGAGCACTGTTTTGCACCCAACTGGGGTATCGTAATCTATATATATCTCAGATGTCGTAGTTTATTAAGACATACATAAACATCTATTCCTTCAAGAATTTTCAGGACTAAAATCTACATTGGCAGCCCAATGAATATCACTGGGGGAAAAAATCCTAGTGGGACACAATGAAAGAATAAAAAGAATTTGAAGAAAGTTACATATTCTGATTTGTAAACCATATTTGTTGTCAACTGGGAAACTAGTCAATGGCAGCTTATGCAGTAAATTACCCTTAAACAAATCAGTGGCTCAATCTGATTCCTCCTTCATCTTGTTATTCATGAACTCTGGGAATTAAGGGCAGAGGTAAAGAAGATAAATGAAAGGTTAAAATGAAGGCTATATGGTATTGGATGTTCTTTTGCATGATTAACCTATAAAATATCTTTGCCGGGCAGGGTGGAAACAACTAATTATAATTGTTAATGAGAATAATCTCTTACTCTTTCTGT